CGGTGCTTTTATGGCTGAATTTCAACGTACTATAACTTCTAGGGGGCGGAGCTTAGCCGTACAATAACTTCCAATGAACTGTACAATAACTTCCAAAAGAACTCAATACTTTTTGTATTTTTTTTTATTCAATTTCTGTAAGTATATACAACCAATGCAGAGGAAACATGAAAAACCTAAAAAATTCAACCCCCTCCCTTCAATCTGAAAATGCATACGTGAGAACCATTTTCAAGAGGAATACATGAAAACTTAGTTATCTGCTTTAAACAAAAATTTTTAAAATACACAGAATTTCATATATTCAAATTAAAACAGATAATTGAAATGTGATAATATTGAAAACAAGCGCAGTTCGATGATTCCCTTAAAAGCACCTGTTTTCTGGGTTCCTTGAGTTACATGCAAACGGATACATATTCGTATATGCATGTATTTGGACCCTTTTGCACTAAATTCCATAATTTTGACACTTGTGGCTACAGTACATGACTCAAATTTCCTCAGGACATGCAAGCTTATCCCTAGTAACAGTAATGTAGCGGATCATAGTGCGGGCGGATCAAAGATTTTAGTATTGTGCATTTGTATATTATGGTTTTTGAAATACTCAAACTGCTTAAATTAATCCGTCAAATAGAACTGTACACTCATTTAACATCGCTTGATTTTTCAATGCAACATCTCCTTCGTACTTTCTGCTTTGTTTGAACACCATGTACACTTACGATGGACCAAGGCCTGTGACGTAATGTCGCCGGTGCTGAAGGAGTGACTATGCAAATTACCATGACACAAGACATTTACAGACAATTTCTTTCGTTTGTAAGGGATTTATTGTACAGAGAGGCGTGACAGTCTCGTCGCTGCGCGACTCTGCTGCCACGCCTCTCTGTACAATAAATTCCTTACAAATAAAAGAAAGTACTGCAAATATAACTTGTTTCTTTCAGTGAAAGGGATGTACATAATACATCTAGACGCTGAGAATATTGATCTGATACCTTGAATCCACTGTCTTACAACAGATGGCACTTATGTTTTGAATGAGGTTAAAATACAATTATGTACGAGATTAGTTACATGTAAATAATGAAAAAAAAAATGTTACTCTAAAATCAAATGTTTGCTTGGGGACGACCATTTGATTCTGCAAGGGGGAGGCAGTTTTGGAAATAAATAATCTGTCCCTTAAAATGTTAGAAATAAATAATCTGCCCTGATTGGCAAGAAAATAAAGAGAACAAATAATCTGCCCTTGATCGGTGCTATTACCCCTAAGTTTGGGCGTTATATCCCCTTCTTTTCATTGAAGAAGAAAATAAATAAGCTGTCCTAGACCATCTTGTAGATAAATAACCTTTCCTAGACTAGCATTAAAATAAATAATTTGACCAAAAAAAAAAAAAAAAAAAATTGCAACCCCCCTTCAGAATCAAATATTCATCACCCTATTAGATATTAATTACCGATTGGTCAAATACCCCCAACCCATCCATCTTAGGGAAGATCAAGTTCACAACGTGTATGTAAATATAAGATTTCACATAAATAATTCTGCCTATTGATAAGAATATACGATCACATCTCCATTCAACAACGCTCTGCATTAGACATACAATTTACTGTCTTAACTGAGATCCAATACTGATATTTGAAAGAGCGATGGGTTGCAACACTTAAACAATACAGTAAAGAGCAGAATATAGGCACACATAGACAAAACGAACAAAAGAAAAAAAACCCAATCAACTGCAGAATATACATGCATATGAATTATGTAAAAAATGACTAAGTAAAATTATAGATAAATATGAATAAGATTTCAGTGAAAACTGCGGACGCCCATTCTGCATTGGATCCGTCCATTGTCCATATATGTTGAAAATCTAAATCAGTTGAGATGTATTTATTTATCACAGACTACCACTAAAAAACAAGTGACACCATTTCTTAATTATTTATTAATTAAGTTTGGCATCATATGGCCACGGCTGGTTGCAGATCAATTATTTAAGATACATGTGTTCAGTGGGTACCTCGTCTTTGTACACCACAGTCTTTTGACAATGTCATTGTGCAATATTCTAAATTTTCTTAAAAATTCACGGCAAACCCTAAACGTGCAACATTTGGAAATGGTGTGAGAATGGAATGTACAAATGCTTGCGCATATATTGCGCGCGCATCCTTCCACGTGGGGCGCTGTGATAAATGGATTTATAACGCATTCACTACATAAATCCGATTATTTAGTATATATAAACACAAACAATAATATCTATTGATATGATGTAAAATCTCGAGTATGTTATTTTTGTAGTAATCTGTGAAAGGAAACCGATATGTTTCATTTTTTTCCCATGAAGGACGACATAGATCTATTAAAAGAAGTTTCGGTTGTTCATTTCTTTTGCGGAGACTCCTTAAATAAATGGGCAGAAATAGCCAAAAATTTAATGCTTGCACGTCAAGGCGTATGCTTGGATGACAGGCCTGTCGAGGAAGAACGACTCTGCTTCTTTCATATTCTAAAGCCGAACACAGAGATAAACTATACAGGTTGATAAACTTAGTTGTTAAATAAATAACAAATTCATATTAAGAATCTGTAAACAAGCGGAAATATCATAGCCATCATGTTTGTATTTTCGTTTACTTTCAATCATGTTTACGCCAGGTTCTAATCTTTTTTTTTTACAATTCTATACAGGTGCCTTACTATTCATTCAAAAATCTGGTACAGAGGAAGAGTACGTCTAGAAGCAACAGTTGTAACAGGAGGTGAAAAATTTGTTCGAGCTGGTCAAATTCAGAAAGAACGAAAAAATCAAAGATGAAAGGACAACTGGTACGGAAAAAGGCGATCGAAAACAAGAAAACAGGTATATATAAATTAAATGTATTCATGTAATAACTTTCATACTCATGTTTACAAACATTCTTTAATTTCAAATCGTTTTCCCATTCTTTCAGATACATCTGATGAGAATGATGAGAGTCCATCTTTTTCAATTAAGAGAAAAAAAATCAAATACCATGCTCTACTTCCTCCATCATGAAGCTGAGAGCGAAAATGACTTGAATAAAGAAAAAAATTGAGCTAGAAAAAAAAGAAGCCGGAGTTAGAGAAGAAGAGGCAGAAATTCGACCAAGAAAGGATCAAATATAAAAAAAGGAGAGATATGCCATGATTAATTTATTTAGACAGCTGATTCAGCAAAAGCAAAAATAACTGTTCAATTGTAGTCAGTATTTATTTATAGCATTTTTTGTGTTAAAAATGAACGCCAATAAAATCTTAATTAAGCTGTTGTTAACATATTGTTGCAAAGAATTTAAGGAGGGTGAATTCCGAAGTAATCTGTCGTAGAACTTCCGTACAAACAGTTCTGACAGTTGGTAAGGAACGCTCCCATAGCATACTCCCACAGGTTGGAGGTAGAGTTTCAAATTATTCTTGTTATCAAGAAATGCATATGTCTGAAAAACTTTATTAAAGTCCAGTTCCACGCATTGCCTAACTGTAGACATCCACCGGTTAAATTCCGCTTCTTCTGAACTTACTCGCATTCCTTTAACTAGACCCAGTACACACTGACTGACAGCATAAGCTGTCTCTGTACGAACAGTACGGCTTTAGGTTAGGAGAGTTCATGTAGCGTTCAAGTTTGTCTCCAAGACCGCTTTCCCTAAAAATCGCTCCATCGTGTCGCTTACCCTCGAAAGGCCCAGCCAAATTTGCAATCAAGCAGTTGGGTGTGAATCTTGACTGAAATTTTAAAACTTGAATCCGTTTATGCCTCTCTCAGAGAGAGAGAAAGAGAGAGAGAGCCTGATTAAGTTTATTCTTAGAAACTGGAAGGACGTATTATTGGGCGCAATGTGCCGTCTATAAATCCCCAACAATTTGCCAGGGGAGAGAGAACTGCTAAAGTCATCATAAATTCTGGTAAAACCCTCTTGATCCATTTCTAATTAAGTGTATTTAAGTTGTTTCTGTGCGTGCCGTAGATAAAATCTAGCGTCTGAATAATTTAAATTAAAATAGGAATGAGGATATATATATATATATATATATATATATATATATATATATATATATATATATATATATATATATATATATATATATATATATATGTGTGTGTGTGTGTGTGTGTGTGTGTGTGTGTGTGTGTGTGTTTGTAAACCCTGTCAATTGGACACGTGCTTTAGACGGCACACGTTTAAATGAACACGGAAAAATCCAAATGAACACGAAATGGTGGTGTTCAGTTGGATTTTGTCATAAATCAACTAGAAAATGTCCTAGGATGCATCCCATTTCAAAAAAATGAAGTGTTAATTTGACCGGATGCATGAGATCTGTGTAATGAGTGTGTATAAGATGACCACCGATCCATCATTTTTTCTTCTCGGCGAGACTTACACACATTGCGAGTGCGCATGCTCGTTACATCAAATGACGTCGTAAATGACATCATAATACAGTACCCGTTTCACACTTAGTCATGTACATGAGGACGAAGTAAACTTTGTAAAAGGTAAGTACAAAATCTGTAAATAAATAAATAAATTTTATGTACATGTATTAAATATGGCCTATGAATAAATGAGTAAAGATATGTGTCCATTATGACATTACGGCATTATTGTTTACTCAATAATTTTCCTACGATATGTATACATGTATATGCTGTATTCTTACAATGTACATCGTTGCATGATTGCAGTATAAATGGTTAAAACCATTAAACTAAAAGTTATTATTATTAATGTTAGTGAAAACATAAAGAAATCTTCTCTATATCTATGTCTCTGGGAAGGTAAACACATTCCGTATTGGCATATGTTGTACTCGCGGAGAGAAACTATCTCTGCATGTACGTGCATCTAATATTTCGATTTTTATTGAATCAACGTTGATCTTTTGAAATGTGTAGCAAAATATATTGTTAGAAAATTTAAATGTTTTCTTGCGTTTCGCGTCTTGTTTATGTGTCATGTCAAGTTCGAAGGTTTCATATTAAAAACGAAAGTAGAGTCGGTCACAACATGTGTTATGGGCCGGGGAAACGTTCAGTCTGCCTGGGTTATATATAGGTACGTGGGCTACTAAAAGCATTGTTAATATTGTGTACATATTAAGCTGTCAACTAAAAAAACACATGTACAACTGAGGCGTAAATATTAGAAATAATTTAAATGATGAAAGGGGGGGGGGTAGCTGTTTACTTCTCCCAGGGACATAGATATAATTGTTAAGCATGTATAGGTCCCTGCTTCAACGTGGTCTTCTAGCCCTGGCAACCTGAGGGTATAGTGCAGCTATATAAGTTGATATTAATGTCAAAGACATGCTGTGCATTTAGACAGTGCCATGCCCTAATTTTAATGTACAAAGTTTTCAAAGTATGTGAATTTAAAGATTGATACTTGTCATTTTATTGTTATGCACTCATTATTGCATTGGGACAGTTTTGAGAGAATATGTATATATAGCTGTGATGATTCATGAAAATGATGCGACTTCTACTAAGTTACAGTAATTAAAGAATATATTTTCCTATTTATTTATCATGGAATTTATGTTTTAAAACTGCATAATATTATAATACATTTCAGGTAGATTCATTGGTTTCGGATCAGAAATTATCAATGTTCATGGATTCTCAGAACACAGCAGAGAGAAGTTTATGGTATGAATGCAATTATATAATATTCATTTAATAGTGAAAACCTACATGTCAGAAAAAAAAAAAAAAAAAAAACTACCTGAAGTTCTGATGATCGGAGTTCATGATGATGTGTTTGTGTATCAACATGATCTGTACATGTTTTCCTGCATTATTTCAATATACTACAGTCATGAATCAGTGTTTTACATATTTATTTCAGTCTGTTGGCCCAAGACCGGAAAATATTTGGGAGGATCAATAAATTTAAAATTAAGTCTGTATGTTATCAGCTAATTGTGCCAGTATATAAAAAAAAAATTAAAGGTTCAGTTTAAAAGACAAAGAACTTCACCAATGATACATGTAGTCCAGATAAAAAGTAAAATAAAATTATTTAAATGGGATTAAAAAAAAAAGATGTTTGCAACTGACAGTCATACTGATAATTTTCATTATTTAGCTATTTTCCATAATAAACAGGACAGATAATTAATACTACACCATTGGCCATTGTTGTCACCGGGGCATTCCATATGTAATGTGTTAATATATTAGACAAATACGAACTACTATAAATTCTCTTTTATGGTGTGCACACTTCTATTTTCAGAAAAAAAAAACAAAGAAGGAGGGGTACACACTATACATGTATTTATTGGGGTATAATGCAACCACTGAAATTCAAAATGAAGAGATTTTTTTTTTCATTGAGGGATTTAAAAAGAAAAATTAATGAAAAGATTTTCCAACTGCAGAGAATACAATTATGTTATTATACAGTTAAAGTATATCATTGAGGGAGGGAGCAAGATTCCAGTTCCCCAAGGCCAGGGCTATACAGTGTATATATATACACACAATATATGCTTTTAAAGCAGAAATATTCCTTTATTTTGTCATTTGTTCGTTGTTAATCCCACATGAAATATTACATTTCAATATATAATGAGTAGGGTTACATTCATAACAATGAAATTTAATGCCTACAAAACCTTCTCAGATAACATAAGAAATAACAAAATTTTATGTCCACGAAAATTTGTGCTTCTACAGTACATGTATATAATCAACACCTTAATGCGAGTAAAACTTACAGTAGATGCAAAAATAGTATTTTTAAGTGCAGTGACTGGAAAAGCACAGTAAATTCAGACCAAACTCAAGTTATTTAATCATTATTTAGTGTCTAAGGAACAAGTTGTTTGTAAGTGTATTAAAAATACTAAATAAGACAATAAAAGACATTTTGACAATACAACAAAAAATATAAGGGGCCTCATAATCTTTTAGAGGCCGGACTCTATTAATTAATGTTTGATATCGATTGACTGGCAGGCGCTGTAAACCTGAGTGATCAATTATGTTAAGAGAAGTTTGTTGATAAAGAGCATCTGTTAGAATGTACCACTTAACCAGATTATTAAAATTTAATTTAAAAGGAAAACATTTTGTTGATAGTGAACAAGTTGGTGTGCCAAGAATATTACAAATGTATATGTAATTTCAAATGAGCAAGAAATGTTATCATCTGTGTATTATAATTACTTAGATTGCATAAATTAAGCTCTCTGTATATATTTTTTGATGGAATTAGAAGAAATCTGAAAGATTGTAAACCCCCCCCCCCCAATTTTTTACCCTCCATGATTATTTTAATTTCAGTTTTCTCATACAAATCAATTACACTCTAGTATATACTGCACACCAAAGAGCTCTGATTTTATGGTATTTTTATGGAGATAGAGACTAATTCGCCCTGGGGTCTAAATCAAATTTGATAAATTGAAATCCTAGCAGTCTGTTACTGAATTTTAGTTAATACAAGCATTCTTAACAATTGAATAAAAAAAATTATATTGTATAAAAGTATAAATAATGAGCTTATCAGATCTACTTCATTTTCTTGAATTTCAACATGTTCAACATAGGGTACATGGCATGTTTACACCCTAAGAAAAATATTCAAAGACATTAAAGTATTGATGAACAGAAATCTCTACACATTGTTTACTTGAGTGAGATAACACATGCAAATTAAGTGTTCAATTTATTTATCTTGGACTAAAAACATTTTTGATTTAGTGTATAGAGGGTCCTTAACAGTCCTTTAATTGTATTCATTCTAATCGGGATCGGTATTCAACTTCACGTTCACTTTCATTTTAATCATGCGAATGTGATTTTGACAGCTGACAAGAATATGTATTATCTGGTTGTGAAGCTTTGATGAGGGTGTACAGTATGAGATATGTACATTTAATGTCGTCTTCACAAGGAGGGTTTAATTCGAATTAAACGTAAGTTAATACAGATTAAATTTGAACCACATTCACATGGACAATTTAATGCAAATAAGTTAATTCAAATTAATTTACTGCGCGTCAAATTTCTTTGCATTAAGGCCGTGTGCACACTAAGGAAAGCTATAATTAGAAATAAATTTTGATGCATGCATAATAGCACAATTAAGCCACATGCCATATGTTGCTGGTCAGATACATTATTTACAAGATTAAATACAATGAAACTCCTCAATGTTTGGAAATATATGATTATTTTTTAATATGATGACCTAGCTGAAGTTGAAAATACAGTGCTACCTTGGTATATTGCCCTCCGTTATATTGCCACCCTCGCTTATTGCCAAGAATTCTCGAAGAACGGATTTCCCCCTTTTGTTAATACACCTGTTATATTGCCGCCCCTGCTTATTGCCATCCGCCACTGGTTTTAGGAAACAAAAGGTCAAATTATATAAGGAAAACCCTCGAGAACAATGCCAATTACCTAGAGCGGGTCGGTAATTTGGACAACACACCCGTGCTTTGACAGTGGTTGCGGTGAAGCGTAACGGGCTGGACAAGGAATTCAGCTAAATTAAAAATAATTGGTGAATAAAACTCAAAATTAGCAATGTCTTTGGCGTGTTTTTATAAGAAAGAAGAATTATTTCATCACAGTAATGGAAACGTCAGGCAAGAGAAAGCGTACAAATTTGGATTACGAGAAGAAAAAAAATTGATTGATCAATATTCGATCTATTTGATTGTAAATCGCCGATTATTGCTTATCATGGATAATGCCCCAAACCATAATAAATGCAAATATTCATTTGTGTCCCCTTAGATTAAGAAGCCATTCTATCGATCAAAAGGAAATCCCACCTCTATTTTTAGACTACTATAATTCCGCACGTGAAAATATTAAGGATTCTGTTACCCCTGAATTTTTCATAAATTGTTGGGCACAGATTGGGTTGATTGATAAATATCAAAACAGAATCGGAAGAGAAGTACACAGGTACCAGCAAACATAAGAATGCATGTTTATTACAACAGGTTGACGTATTCTGACACGTGACTTGCCATTCGTCATGACACTTTACCAACCAAACTTTTTAACTGATTCAGAAATTCTTGAGACGGTGAAAAAAATCTACTTTCGATTCAGATGAGATTAATAATAATTCTCAAAACTTTTTTAATACCGAGAGGCTATAACGGCTACTGACATCTTTGTTATCAGGTTATTAAATTCTTAGAGCATGGCGAAAGAGCAGGGAATTGACAGGTGTTCAATATTCTGATATTTTGTTTCTTTTCAGTAAAAATATTGTAAACTAAAAAAATAATGACTTCTTTTTCAAAAAGAAACGAGAGCTTCCCTTATACGTATGTGCACAAGCATGACATTAACAGACTGTAACTGAAATGAATTACATAAACTATTTATTTTGCTTTGATTACCCACTGAATTGTAATTTATGGCAGAATTCGTTATATTGCCACCCTCGCTATAATGCCAAAATCTGCCTTGGACAAAAGCTGGCAATATACCGAGGTAGCACTGTACACTGTTTTATAAATAACTATATTTTGTATTTCCTGTCCTATGTATACTAACGGTACATGATTAGATATATCATGTATAATGACATATTGATGATGCTTTATCAATGGGCAGTAATTATTCATTTTTATTCCTACATTAACTTATTCAGGTGTGACCGGTCAACAGAGGATGCTTACTCCTCCTAGACACCTGATCCCACCTCTGGGATTTCCAGGGGGTCCTTGTTTTTGCAAGGCACTTCACAGATTTGTAATGTTTATACATTTTTTGAGATTGATCACTATTCATTATATTTAATTTTTTTTTTCATTCACATGTAATTATCTCTTTGAACTCAAAATTAAAGACACCACAGAGGCATATACATCTGTTTCATATTTGAATATTTTACTAGACAAAGACATTAATGGCAAAGTAACAACTAAATTTTATGATAAACACATAACTTTAATTTTTCTATTATTAACTTCCCTTACTTATGTAGCATTATCACCTTCATATGGAGTTTATGACTCCCATTTGATTCAAAGGACAAGAGCATGTGTACCTAGTACAAACAATTACTAAAATGAGGCAAGCTATTGGCAAATAAGTTGATGATACAGGTTGAACATTTTGCAAATTCTGTGTTTGATACAATGACCTTGTTAACAAATACAGTCTACTGTACAGATAAGTCAAATGTTTACTGATCGATGTTTTTCATACAGAAATTGTTAAGCCATTATTTTCATACTGAATTGTCTACAGATTTATCCATTTCACCCTATTATGACAAGGAGCTCACAGCAGGTGTAACTAGTTGACAGGGGATGCTTATTCCTCCATGACAACTCATCCCACCTCTGATGTTTTAGAGATCTATGTTTGCAATGCTCACAATTAGTAATGTTTCAGTGCACCTTTGAGCTTAAATACTGTTTGTAATCTCGATATTTCATTAAAGGTCTGCAACATTCTAATAGATGGGAATCACTTTATCTTTTTAGTTATGAACATTTCTTATCAACAAACCCTGTAAGAAGAAGGACGTCTGTTCTACAGCTTGTGGTGGATCATAGAACACATGATATCAACCAAGTTTAAAGGAAGCATGTATAGCCACAATAGAAAGATTTAAGGATTGTGAGAAACCAAATATCCCTAATGTAGATTTTCCAAAGGGTTTGGAAAAGTTTTGGAATTCCATGGAATTCCAAACATTTCCATACAAGAGTCTAAAAGTGTTTTTGGAAGTTTTTGGAATCTTTTGGAATTTGAATAACAAATTTGGACTTAGACATTTTGAGGTTTGGAAAGTTGTGGAATTCTATGGAAAAGCTGATAAAATGAGAAACTTAGACATTTTCTGCTCTGGAAAGCTGTGGAAAATAACTTAGATTTTTTCCTTAAACTGTCGGCTCATAGTACAATTACGTCGGGATCGATGTCGGGCTCGATGAACAATTAATTTAAACTACAGCCCGCCAAAATTCAACAATTCGGCTGCCGTGTTGTATTGTTGGACAGAAGGAAAGAGAGTGTCACGAAGAAGGGAACTGCTGTTATTATTAGCTTGGAATGGAATTTGTATTTTGACAAAAGATGCAGACATTTTAAGACCCGGTAGGTACAATGTACAGTAATCAGTATTTTATGTGTTCTTGAAGTTGAATGGATAATTGACTGTTCCTCAGTCTGGGCACCACACACATAGAATGCCCGACGATGAAACCATTAGGGCGAGTTTCATTTCTTTAATAATTATTGTACAACTCTAAACATCTCTTATCAAAATATGTTTGAACAATGTGTGGATTTCAACCCGAATTTCCTCCGTTCGTACATGTCCTTAGACCTCGCTATATATGCTAGTGGCACTTTGCCAATTGCGCCACGACAGTCCATGTTACATCGTACACAGACATCATAACACTATTAGTGTCTCCAATATGTTGCAACATGCAACATCTAAATTGGCTATCTTTACCATGTTTACAACAAAGAAAAAACGTGTAGACGGTGGTAGACAAATAATGCTCTATAAGCTGTCTATATGATATAAAGTTGTGCACAACTTAGTTGCGGTAGACCCAAGCCTCTATTTAGTTTCACAGACTACCACCAACAAAGGCATTTCAACAGGTCTAGGCGGCCTCTGTTTTTGGAGGATAGATTTTATCTTCTGAAAGCAGAGGATAGCGGTCTTGCCACCTACCGGAATTTTCAAAACCAAGGGCAGTTAACTCGTCACCAAACAAATAACCACAACTCTTGCACTTATGAACTGTGCGCTGATTTCGCAATCAAAACAAATAAAAGGTATAATTTCATATAATGATGGATAATTCTAGATATTAAATCAATATAACTATATTTTTGTAATTGCCGTCAATCAGTAATTCCGTATACAGCTTGGAAAACAAATATTACGCTTACCTGCCCGTGACTGAGGTAAACTATAACCACGCTTATTTCCAAGTACCGTAGTTATGTAATAAGCAGTTTAGAAATTTTGATAATCAATTTTTTTTTTTGGAAAAATTAAGTTTAATCATGTATTATTTCTTTCATTTTATAATTCTTAAGCACATCACTTTGTAATATTTTATTTGTTTATGTATAAACATGGCTGTATAAATAAATGTTAATTTCTTCGCAAACATGTTAAATCATTATTTTATTTATTTATGCTATTCAAATTATTTATTTTTATAATTATTCATTCAATCCATTTTAATTATAGTTTTGTTTGCTTAAATCATAAGGCAGAGTATATTTTGCATTTTAAATACGCTTAAAATACGTTTCCTTTTGTGTTTCCTTTCGTCCTCCATTTTTGAATTAAAAGAAAATATCGAAGAAATATAAAAGTCCTTTTTTTATTTGTTTAAGTAGGGAAAAAATGAAAAATAACACAAAATAACAAGAAATATTCAGTAATAATGGACCGCAAAAAGTGCCAACTTTGAAAATAAATTACAAAATATCTAGACATAGAATCTCAAATCGCCACATACAATTGATAGTTTAATGTTTGAAATTTTATTTACATGTACTTTTTGATTAAAGGTAGGCACGAGGCCTTTGAAAATTACCTGTGTTATCCTCTGAAATCGGAGGATAAACTATCCTACAATGCAATGCGGTTTCCATATATGGTAAAAAATTTGGCCGCCATATTGAATCTAGTTATCCTCCAAAAACGGAGGCCGCCCAGACCTGTTCAAGTCTTCCTTACTTTCAGACCTTTAGTACTTGCACAGATAATTTAAATATAGTTCCCCCCCCCCCCCCCCCATTATGGAAATTTATTTCTCTTCCATGCTCAGTGGTGTCGGCAGCCTCTTTGGGGCCAGTTCAGAACTCTGGTCCGAATTATTAGCTAATAACATTCCTTAGTACATGTACTACTTACATTTACAGAGTACATTGTAAATAATTGTATCTATTTTTTAATGCATGTTCATGATCATTCACAGCACTTACTTTTATTATTTTATAGCTGAAGTACTCGATTTGCACAGCGCCTGCATATAATCATCAAGTTTGATGAAATGTCCTAATATGTAGATGTAGATGCTAAGTCATTCAGTCACCTAGCTTGTGAGAATGGTGAGAGCCTGCTCAAATTATCATTCAGCACAAATAAACTAACATTGTTTTTATTAATTAATGTTTTATAGCGTAAGATTTTTTTTATTGAGCAAGTAACAAGAGGTTTATATTCTTAATTCCTTAATAATGCATAACAATTATAACTTTTGACAGGTAATCTAAACATGCTAAATGCTACATGCATAATCATTTTACATTTTATTTAAGTATAAATATTAAAAATGACTATACTCTATGACATAAAATCATGCATGCATTATTTACAGGAATGCTCACAAAAAGGACAAGAGCGAGAGAGCTGTATGGAAATTTATACAAAGGTAAGATTTTTTAATCATTTTCCTAATCAATAAAATCAAAAGAATTGAAATTATGTGTTTATCAATGTTAGCCAGGCATTGAGAAAAGTTATTATGAACCTTAGACTCCACTCTTTCAAATATATTTTAGTTATTTTAAGAAGTTGTTGCTTTTAACTTGTTTCCTATGTCAGCTAGTTCTCTGTCCTGTTCACAAGTTTTTACCTACGCCTTGTCAATGTCATTCATCATATTCTTACACAAACCTATAACCTTAGTTGCAGATATAAATTTCCAGAAATAAAGAAGCACATGTATACATGTACTAATATATTATCTTACTCAATACTGAATTGTTGAGGCATGGAAGTTACATGTATTTATAACAGTTTATTTAATATTTTCTTAATTTTTCAAAAATAAAGTATATGTACATGTATTTGCATGTTTGAAGCCTAGAACAAATGTATTCTATATATTCACTTTATATTATTTGCTTTGTCTATATTTTTGTTACATTGTAAATTAACCAATGTGCATTTAAAGCAATTACATATGCCTATAAATTCGTCTTTTCCTCTTTTCAAGGGTCAGTTAACGGAGTAAGCTGATATGGAGGATAATATATCAAAGGCAGCATAGGCGTCCAAACTCCTGTTCAAGGTGCTTTTAATCAGAAGCTTAAGAGACAAAAGACGAGCCATTGACAAGGCAAAACTGAATGTTTTATATGGTATATAAATTATATTTACTAATGTACTTTTTTTCATACCTTAACTTTATTTGCTGAATGTTTTTAAGGGTACATAGTTTATGTAATTTACAATGTTCTCTCTCATATTCAAGGTTAATTAACTTAGACACAATCATGTCTCTTTATTTTTTTTTAATTTCACAACTTCCATTAGTTTAAAAAGAAATCAATCCTAATCTGAACAAAAAATTACAAGATAATAAATTCCTATTCTACAGTATTAAACTGATCTGCCAGGTTGAAAGAACCAATTGTCTTATATAGCTTTAGTTTATTATTTGTCATATATTTATACATGAGATAGATATCAAACATCTTTATGGTAATCTTTTCTTTCAGAAATTGAGCAAGAAAAGTTTGAAGTGTCTTTGGGAATGATCAACATCAAACTTGCTGAGCTTTTGAAGCCGTCGTACCAAAAGTGAATCCATTCGTGACACCAGTTATCTGACCACCCTCTAACAGAACCAGTGAGGAAGTGATTCTAGCCAATACTTCAGAAGTTTAGGACCCTCAATAATTAGGATCTTGGGGCATGTTGGGGAAAAAAATAGCATGTGTTGATTTTATGGGATCTTTCAAATATAGTTGTGTAGTAGATATTTGTGTACTTAATACATATGTTTGTCACTCTAGTCATTAACTTTGTATGGTAAATGTATATGGACCACTGGAAGATCATTGTAACTGTATACAAATGTTGCAAATATACCCTGTTAAGGCTTTAGTGACCTTTCCCAAGGTCATTCAATGAAGCAAAAGGTCATAATTAATGTTTTTTTAAAAAATCTATTTTGTTTTATTATTAAAAAATGTCATATGTTTGAGATTACTCTAGGTACAAAGGATTTTCTTTAACCAAAAGTCATTTGTTTCTCATGCAGACCGTAATTTACTACATGTACATGCATGTATATTATAATAATTCTCATTAATTAAACCAAGGTGATCATCCAGTAATGATATTTTTCTGTGGATTTTTAACATTGTTTAAATAATCTTTGATGTAAAATACTTTCATTGATAATACTTTTTAAAATTTGTGCTTTCATTATACATAGAAGTGTGTATGCAATGTTTGTCCCCAAACACATTGTAAAGCAAAAATGATTTTTTATTTTGAAAATATAGATTTGATTTATGAAAAATTGTGATGTAGTCATTTTTTTTTTGTAATTATTTGGCCCTTAAATTATTTTGATTATTCCAGTTTTTGTATTTTCCTGGAATTCCTTGGATTTCCGTGGAATTCCATAGATTTCCAAATATCCTGGAATTCCATGGATTTCCAGCTATTTCCGCAAATTTCTATTCTGGCATTGTTCCGCTCTTTTCCAGGCTAGATTTGAAATTCCATACCATTCCAAAAAAGTTCCGTCCCAATACTCTCGAGAATTCCTCGGAATTCCATGGAACACTTTTTCCATGGAATTCCACGGAATTTGTTATGGAATTCCACGGATCTTATGGAAAATCTACATTAGGGATGACAAATCAGAATAAATTCCATGGGAGTGTGAAAAAAAAGAATAGTAGAGTGTAATCCTCAGGACTTTTTAGCTCACCTCGACGAAGTCGAGATGAGCTTATGCTATACCCCCGGCGTCGGCGTCGGCGTCGGTGTCGGCGTCGGCGTTAGCGTCGGCGTCCCAGGTTAAAGTTTTAGGAGCAAGTCCCATTCCCAAGTAACTATAAGCCCTACCTGGACCAAACTTGCATGGATGATGCATCTAGGGATGGACACTACCACACTTGCTTCGGATGCTGGATCTGACCTAGATTTTCCAGATGAGTGACCAGGTTAAAGTTTTAGGAGCAGGTCCATTCCCAAGTAACTGTAAGCCCTACCTTGACCAAACTTGCATGGATGATGCATCTAGGGATGGACACTACCACACTTGCTTCGGATGCTGGATCTGACCTAGATTTTCCGGATGAGTGACCAGGTTAAAGTTTTAGGAGCAGGTCCATTCCCAAGTAACTATAAGCCCTACCTGGACCAAACTTGCATGGATGATGCATCTAGGGATGGACACTACCACACTTGCTTCGGATGCTGGATCTGACCTAGATTTTCCAGATGAGTGACCAGGTTAAAGTTTTAGGAGCAGGTCCATTCCCAAGTAACTATAAGCCCTACCTGGACCAAACTTGCATGGATGATGCATCTAGGGATGGACACTACCACACTTGCTTCGGATGCTGGATCTGACCTAGATTTTCCGGATGAGTGACCAGGTTAAAGTTTTAGGAGCAGGTCCATTCCCAAGTAACTATAAGACCTACCTTGACCAAACTTGCATGGATGATGCATCTAGGGATGGACACTACCACACTTGCTTCGGATGCTGGATCTGACCTAGATTTTCCGGATGAGTGACCAGGTTAAAGTTTTAGGAGCAGGTCCATTCCCAAGTAACTATAAGCCCTACCTGGACCAAACTTGCATGGATGATGCATCTAGGGATGGACACTACCACACTTGCTTCGGATGCTGGATCTGACCTAGATTTTCCGGATGAGTGACCAGGTTAAAGTTTAAGGAGCAGGTCCATTCCCAAGTAACTATAAGCCCTACCTTGACCAAACTTGCATGGATGATGCATCTAGGGATGGACACTACCACACTTGCTTCAGATGCTGGATCTGACCTAGATTTTCCGGATGAGTGACCAGGTTAAAGTTTTAGGAGCAGGTCCATTCCCAAGTAACTATAAGCCCTACCCGGACCAAACTTGCATGGATGATGTATCCAGGGATGGACACTACCACACTTGCTTCGGATGCTGGATCTGACCTAGATTTTCCACATGTGAGACCAGGTTTAGATTTAGGAGTAGTCTCGTTTCCAAGTAACTATAAGCCCTACCTGGACCAAACTTTCATGGATGATGCATCTAGGGATGTACACTAACCAACCTGCTTCGAATGCTGGATCTGACCTAGATTTTCCACATGAGTGAATTTTAGCCATATTTTAACCAAATTAGCATGGATGATGTATCTAGGGATGGACACTTCCAGACTTGCCTTGGATTCTGAATCTGATGTACATTTTCCAGATGAGTGACCAGGGTAATTTTTTGGAGTAGCTATATAATATTATGGCCTGTTATGATTAAACTTGCATAGATGGTGCATCTAAGGATGAAAACTTCCAGACTTGCTTTGGATGTTGGAAGTGACCAAAATTTTCTTGATTACTAAACAGGTCAAAAGTTTTTTGAGCAGGTCTATAATTAAATCAAACTTGCATGGCCATTGATCTTGGGATGTACCCTAACTAGAAAAAAAATATGATGTGAAATTTGCCTTACATGTAGATAACATTCGTCGAGGTGAGCTTCGTAATCTTTGATTACCTATGTTTTCAGACTTCCATTAAGTCAGGAAATACTGTTAAACTGACAAAATTAACAAAAATCATGATTTTCAAAAATTTAAGGAAGATCGATGTGCGAGTTAAGACTAAGACGGATTTTAGGAGTTTTGATGACAAAGAATCAACCATTGGAAATATGGCTCTTTGAACTTGGATCTCATTGTTGGTAAGTGAATTAAACATTTATATCAATTATCTTGATTGTTAATGACCTAGCAATTTTAATTACTACCGTTTAATTTTAACTAATTTTTACATGTACAGGGTTTTAAACTAACTTGTAATCTTTGATAGCAATGTGGGCTACTGAACCTCAATTCTGGGGCCCACATCAAAATTTATTCACCCACAGATTATCACACCTTCTATTGAATATAAAAACAATAACCCCATTTTTCTTTTCTTTTTTATCATGTGTTTTGTGTTTCTTTTCTATCCGTTGTAACATTATGCACGACTTATCTAAATTTGAAGTGGAACTCTTCTGTTTATGAAGATTGATATGATCATTCAGTATCATATATAGAGCACATGGCACGTTTTCATTCACAAATAACAACAGAACATTTTGGTTTCTTGGGCTTATTGACCCGTCGATGTCACATTGTGCCTGACACAATCACTTAGACGCTTTATGTATAAGTACTTCTTACGGGTAATCATAAAGCACTTTACTGATTATGAAATTTTTCAAGAGAAAAAAACAAAACATTCGGACAAAATTGAAAAACAAATATTTATTATCGTAAATTTTCTAATCGCCATGTGGGCAACTTGAACGTAATTTTAAGTTGCCCATATGGAACATTAGTCGCAAATTGTGAGTGGGCTACTGTTAATTTCAAACCCTGATGTAGCTTCTCACATTGATTTTTTTAAAAATACATGTACATATATTTTTAATTTTCGTGAAAGCTAATGGACAAGGTGCATGTATGACTTAACACCCCCCTTCCCACCCTTTTTCCAGTTTTAGCTCACCTGAGCTGAAAGTTCAAGTAAGATCACATATTGTCCAGTGTCTGTCCGTCCATCTGTAAACTTTTCACATGTTTTCAACTTCTTCTCAAGAAGCACTGGGCCAATATTAAGCAAAGTTGGTACAAAGCATTCCTGGGTAAAGGGGATTCTAAATTTTAAAATGAAGGGCCAAGTTTCCTTCCAAGGGGAGATAATCAAGAAATGCAAAAATAGGGTGGGGCCATTGAAACATATTCTTTCAAGAAGCAATGAGCCAGAAAAGCTGAAACTTATATGTAAGCTTCCTGAGGTAGTGTAGATTGTAAATTATTCAAATCTTGCCCCCACAGGGCATGATGGGGCCACAAATTAGGGGATGAAAATTTTACAATGAAATATATAGGGAAAATCTTCAGATATCTTCTTCTCAAGAACCACTGTGGCAGAAACGCTGATACTCATATAAATGCTTCTTAAGGAAGATTAGATTATAAATTGTTCAGATCATGGTCCCCGGGAGTAGGGTGGGGCCACAATAGGGAATGGATGTTTTACATTGAAAATATTGTAGGAAAAACATCTTTAAAATTCTTCTTCTCAATACTACTGGACTAGTAAAGATGAAATTTAGTTGAAAGCTCCCTGATCGAGGTAGTGTAGATTGTAAATTGTTCAAAACATGTCCCCTGGGGGTAGGATAGGGCCACAATAGGGAATCAAAACTTTACATTGAAATATATAGGAAAAATTTTAAATATCTTCTTCTCAAGAAATACTGGACTAGAAAAGATGAAAATAGGTGAAAGCTTTCTTAGGTAGTGTAGGTTTTAAATTGTTCAGATCATGGCCCCTGGGGGTAGGGTGGGGCCACAATAGGGATTACATTGGATAAATCTTTAAAATGCTTAATTCTTCTCAAGAACATTAAAGCCACGATGAAACATAATAATGTAAGAAGCATCCTCTGGTAGCGTAGATTCATTTTTTATTAAATGATGGCCCCTATATATAGGGTTGGGCCACAAAAGACGATCAAAATTTTACATAGCCATTAGGAATACATGTATATTGGGGGAAAAATCTGTAGCAGAACAGCAGGGCCAAAGTGACTGATAGGTGGGTGTTGTTGCCCATGGGCCTCTTGTTTTGTTGTTAGCCCACTAGCTTTGCTTTGAGTCTAATCTCATAAATGCTTTCTCATTCAAAACTTACACAAAGTGTAGAGTAAATATTCATTTAATTAAAAGTAGGGATGAGTATCAAAATGCAAAAAAATTTAATCATGACTGTCACAATATTTTGACTTGTGTTTTATGATATATATTGATGCATATCACTTAATTTTTTTTACTTTTGTTCTACGTGTTCTATAGAATATTAAAAAAAAATTCCTTGAAGTTTCCACTGTAAAATTGTTATTAATAAGAATAAATGTGTTCTTCAATCATTATGATAAGGTTTGTTTATAAATATAATTTATCATGTTTATAGAATCAGTAATCATGGTAATCCAAAATTCTATATCTCAAAAAAAAAAGTTTACATTTTGTAAAGTACAGTGAAGTCGTACTTAAATTAAGATGACTTGAATTCTTTTCTGATTTTTAAATTGACAACCAAAAAAGTAATGATAATTAAGATTGCCTTTAACTGGTAACCAACTTCAGTTGAAAGTTATCTCCATATACTGGTCCATGTATAACAAACACCCCTAATTAAGAGACTATGTGCGACAAATAAGGACATATAAATTTTATGAATTTATAATTGCAATAAAATCATGAGATATTTTTAGATTATGATAAAATCTGTTGAAAGCAAATGTGTCAGATAACATGGTTAATCATGTTAATTATGTAAGTTTGACTGATAAGAGGGATAAGTTGAAGACACTAAGTCATGTAAGTTGACAACATATTTATTAAAAAATGGTGAATGAATTCTAGCAGTGGACAGGCTTTCTACAGCACAGTGTATATATACCATATATACTTGCCTATAAGTCGGTTTTTTGGGAGTTGTAATTTGGACCAAAACTCTTTGTCCGATTTATAGGGGAGTTATAAAAAGACTGATATTTTAGATGGTCAACATGGTCAATCCCTCTAATAAAAGCTTAAAAAATACAACCGACTTATATGCGAACCAACTTATAGGCGAGTATATACGGTAATATATATATATTTATTTATTATATGATTGAATAATTCCCATCTCTCTGATTGGCTGAGATCCAACAATGTTAGAAAAATACTACGTTATATTGACCTGCACGTGACCTTTCAGGTCAATATAAGGAATTATTTATTCTACATTTGACCAAAAATAGATAGGGAAATTCCAAATTGATGCAAATAGTTTTGGAAAGTTATTTCACTTGCACCTGACTTCCACTCATATGAACATACATGTAACATTAAAGGCACATAGATTCTTGGGTGAGGGGTGGGAGTGGTGGGTTGCAGGAGGACTTCCGCTCTCTCCCCACCTTTTGAGAATGTAAAGTTTTATTTTAAATTTTAAGTATAAAAAATTTCAATGAAAGCCCCACTCCCCTCGTTTATGGATCTTTATATCCCACTAAATAAAATTTTGAGTTGGGAGAATTCTTTTCCTTTTTTTTTGGGGGGGGGGGGGGGGGGGGCTAGTCAAAAGTTTGTTTTCAGGTAAGTTGTCATTTTTTCCCCTTCTAATGCCCCCATTTTCAAAATCAATCCTATATATGTGCCTGACATTTATTTCCTCTACATTGACCCTAAACTAGAATTAAAAATTCCAAAATACATGTGATAAAACTGGTTGTTTTTTAACCCTGTTTCTCTCATTATGTTCAGGTAGTACTTCAATAGATGTGAACAAGTAAGATGGCATGGATTGCTTAATGAGTGTGTGTCATTTAATCATATAATAAAACAATTATTGCTGTTTTTTCGGTCAATACGATGATTTAGCCACCTTCGAAGTACAATATTCACCTCGCCCTTCGGGCTCGGTGAATACTGTACTCTTCAGGTGTCAAAATCATCGTATTGACCTCAAAAACCAGCAATAATCGTATAATATTTAATGTATATATATACAGCTAAAATTTGTATGTTAAGACTTCCTATACACAATATTTTTTTAATTCAAAAGCCCCTGCAACCTACACATCTAATAATTATTTTCTTCAAATTTAATCTGCCATAGCAAGAATGATTCGAGTGATGAAAAATATTTGCTAAAATGGATAGATTAAAATTTCTAATGTTTAAAAAATGTTTTCTCTACTCATTATTCATTAAAATTTTATGTAAATCTAGTTTTAAATTTTATAATTCTGTTTGGATCACCAAATGTAAGAATATCACTTTAAAAAAAAAAAAAAAAAAAATCTCAATCCAAAAAAGAAAGGTCTTTTAATATGTTTAACATTTGAGGGGGTGTAAACTACTTATTTTAATAGTCCCATGTCGTTTAAACTGGAGAGAACTATAGATTTTCTCCTTGACTGTCTGTCAGTCTGTCCCATTTGGTTTTCCACACTTTTTGTTTTATTAAAACCGTGCTCTGAAAAGTGGGATTTTCCTTTTAATTTATTTAGTTAGCATGTTCTATTATGACACATCATGTATATGTACTAAGATCAATATTTTCATGATGTTCATTTTAAAATTAATGAATATACTACTGTTCCAGAGAGTCTCCAAAATATTTGTACACCATATGTAATTATTTTAGTCCCCTACCAGTGAAACCGAAGGGGACTACAGGTTTCCCCTTTATCTGTCTTTCAGTCTGTCTGTCAGTCTTTATCACTTGGTTTTCTGGATTTTTTTTCTAAACTATGGGCATTGGTGGCATATTTCTGCCCCCTACATGCAAGATAAATTATGTTTACATGCAACATAATTATGTAGATATGCAACTTATTTATGCCAACATGCAAAATAATTATGTTACCTGCAAGTTTCCAACTTCTCAAGAGAATCTAATTTTAAACTCTACTTATGCACGCCATTATATGACATCATACAAGCAAGATGTAACAGAATTATGTTGACATGCGACTAATTTATGTTAACATGCAAGATAATTATGTAGACATGCGACTTATTTATGTCAACATGCAAGATAATTAATGTTAACATGCAACTTATTTATGTCAACATGCAACTTATTTATGTCAACATGCGAGTTATATTTAAACATGTATAACTCGCATGTTGACATAAATAAGTTGCATGTTGACATGAATAAGTCACATGTTGACATAAATAAGTTGCATGTTAACATAATCATCTTGCATGTAAAATATAACTCGCATGTTGACATAAATAAGTCGCATGTTGAAAAATATAAGCTGCATGTTAACATTATTATCTTGCATGTTGAGATAAATAAGTTGCATATCTACATAATTATCTTGAATGTTGACATAAATAAGTCGCATGTCTACATATTTATCTCGCATGTTAAAATAATTATTTTGCATGTTGACATAGATAAATCGCATGTCTACATAATTATGTTTCATGTTAACATAATTTATCTTGCATGTAGAGGGCAGAAATATGCCAGCATACTAAACACCCGCAGATACAGTGTACATGTGTATTTAGCTGATTTTTAGTACATGTGTGTGTACCTTGATAATTAAGTTACAGATCAAGTTTGCATTTCATTCCACTTTGTTGATTTTTGACAGAATTATAGCCTTTCTAATTTTTAAGGGGAACCAGATTACATGTACATTTGCGAATAATTCCAAATTCAAATAATACACTGTTATATATATATATATATATATATATATATATATATATATATATATATATATATATATATATATATATATATGCAGGAAGGATTTGATAATTTGAAGTGTTTTTTTTTTTAAACATGCATGATTAAATGATCATTTAAATTTAATTTCAATATAGATGCATGCAAGATGGTGGGCTAAAGAAGAAAACCAGGACAAAAGAAAATTCCTAGTGTTCATCAGAAAAAATAATCATGCAGCCATTTTGAGTGCTTGAATGTCCAACTGAGAGAGCCAGCCAGTTCAAAAAATATTTCTTGGAAGTTAAACAAATTCTGCTGTGACAATTGAATTAAAGCTTTAAAAGTACATTTAAAAACATTCTGATTCATCTATAAGTGAGACTAGATTGCCTTTGACAGTTGCCAGTGGAATTCAGATCTTCTAAATTGTACCAGTATTAATAAATTGAAGTGAGTTGCCTTAAAAATAACATTTGTATATGGTGTACATTACTTCAAGAAGATATAGCACACCTGTTTAAACAGTGATGTCCATAGCTAAACATGGATATGGAATTTAGCTCACCTGATCCAAAGGCTCAATTGCACAATTCTGATAAAAAGAAGTCTCTGGTATCCAACAATGCAACATTTATGTTTTGACTGTTTGTCCTCCATTAACTTTTAACATTTTCTTTTTTTTTCTAACATTTGGTCAATGTAAACCACATTTGGTACAATGTATCTCTGCTTAAAAGGAATAAAGCTTATTCAAATAAAGGTGCTGCATCTTTTTTCAAGGGGAGATAATGAAGAAATATGAAAAATGGGGTAATGTCATTAAAAATCTGTTATTTTAAGGTATTCAATGTATAATGAAGGAATATTGAGCAATTTTGAATTATTTTAAACTAGTTAAATATGTATTGCTAGATATTAATGATGAAAGTAAAATGAACCAAATTCACATGACTGATAACATATTAGAAACTGCATGACCATTTTGCACCGTAAACATTTTCAAGAGTTATCTGCCCTTGATGCAAAGAAGAAAATTTAAATTTTGTCAATATATCTGTGGTAGATGACTTATTTTATTTCATATTTCAATAAAGAGAGAGTTTATGCATATTTTCACAAGAGATTTGTATGAGGTTCAAATTACCTTTTTGAATATCTAAACAAAACATGCACTGCCCATAGACTTCAATATAATATTCAAGGTGCAATTAATTGGACAATAATCAAAATTTTGTAAATTCCTTTGGTGGTGTACTTTTATTTGATAACATCTTCAAAATGCTAATTTGATTAAAAACACTGGACCATTCATTTATTAGGTACAGAATATGGTCATTATACATTGAATACCTTAAGAACAATTAAGAACAACTTGATCATATAAGACAAATGTTATCCAAGAGTTTTCTTAATGAGCATAGATTCAAGTTTTTTTCATTGCCCATAAGGCGAGGATAGAGCTGCAGAGGGGTTAAAAGTTTTGCCTGAAAATATGTATAAGTGATAATTAGCAGGGTGACATTTATAAAGCAAATTCATATGCCAACATTACAACATCATATAGATTTAGTTTTTTCAAATTATAAACATTGGGGTTAGGAAAGGGCTAAAAGTAGGGTTTTCATTTTGCATGTATCTATGTGTCAGTATTTAATTTTGTTTAAATTATGGACATTTGGATTAGAAAAGGACTAAAATTAGGGGTTAAATTTTACATGTATATAGGTGTCAACATTTTTCATGGGAATATGGAGGGGAAAAATCTTTAAAAATAATCTCTTTAAGAGCAATCGACACAAAATGACTCAGGCAAGCATTTTGGCTTTGGCATCTTCAGTGTATTAGATTTCATTCTTATAATTTTAGGAACATAAAAGTACACCCTATTCTGAAGAAACACAGCGAGTTTGATTTTTTTAAAATAATAAATGATTTTAATGGAAAAAGATGAATTAAGCCTATAGTCATAAAGGTCCAGTTTTCCCTTTGAAGTTTTTATAAGGGGTTTTACCTATTTAATAAGTAATTTGTACTTGGTTGTACATGACACACATCTCTATTTATGTAACAGTATATTATATATGCAAATATTGTTCAGAATTAGTTGCCTTATTAATGAAATTATTTGTTAAGATTAAAGTGGGCCTTCTGGTGAGGTGGTTTTTTATTTTGCAATCACTTTTTCATCTTTTTTTTTAAATCAAATTTGAAAATATGTAAAGAGATAGGCTTTATTCACTATTTATATTTCAAATCTCAGTCTATTTTATTATTTTATTATTTGATCCACTAGCCTAGCCCGTATTCTTTAATGTGCTAAAATATTCTCATTACATAAATGAATTAATTAAGTAAATTCGTATTCATTTTATCAAATATATATGTATGTTTGATTGTGTCGGTCAAAAGTTTTTTAGAACTTGTAACCAAGCTTAAAAAATTCTTTGTTTGCATATGCAATATCCGGTAACATGCCTCAAATTTTGACCAAAATTAGCCACACTCTCCCTGCTACCGTCCTACGTTCAACAAAAGAATCAGTGAAAATGTTATGCACCCCCTCCCCCGCTCCACGTTTTGGGTACTTATATGAGAATCCTCCCCTTTTTTCATAATTCCCGCTTTGCATGATATTGATGGAAGGGGTTAAGAAAAATAATATATTATTAATAAGGTTGGATACAGGTGTGATTGAATCAGGGCTTTGGAGCACACCCCATTAAAGAAATTTTGGAAATACTTAAGAAACCAATTTATCTTGATTATTTCTTTCTTCTGTGGAGAGCACATTGCGGAGTTCATAAATCCACAAAACCTCTTTTCACTAAATTCAATTTTCATGCTACAGGAGTTGAAGTGTCTTGATTTTATTCCCTATTAATAATTCATTAATTATTTATTCAAAATGAAAATTAAAAAAAAAAAATGATAATTAAGCACGAGTTTCAGTGCCACCCCCCCCCCCCCCACCTCAAAAAAAAGCCTAAAGTTCAACGAATGAACGCATTATCTGAAGACTGGGTATTAAATTGTTGTCCTTCCTCTTTGACAATGTGTTCTATAGAATGCATTCATCAAGATCATAACCCAGTGGTATCTAAGAAATTTTATCGATGTAGATAACCACTACAACGTTGAGTAGTGCAATTTTAATGTGTACAAGTAATAGCTTTTCAAAAAGCTTGCCTGACTAATCAATCAATATCTATGGAACGTATATGCAAGATTTTTCCGTCATCAAGGAGTGACATAGTTGCGATACTTCATTACACAAGATGTACAATTGACTTTCTCAAATGTCATAACCAAATACAACAGATTAACGAATATCTAAGACATGCCACTATTTGGTCATTTATTAGCGTAGCGTAGATTATAATCAAAGGCGGATCCAGCACCGGCGCGCCTGGCGTGCGCCCCCCCCCCCCCCCCCCCCCGTTTGAATTTTTTGTATGTAGAACTTATATGTTCATTATGCTAAAATCAAGGAAAAAACACCTCCTATTTGTAAGAATTCGTCAGCTTCCGGGAGCTTCGCCCCCGAACCCCCATCAGGGCTTTGCCCTGGACCCACTGGGGTTTCAATACAGCCCCCAGACCCCCTGCCTTCTACTGCGCCCTCTCGTTATGAAATTCCTGGATCCGCCACTGATAATTCTGAGAAAAATAGATGATTCTTAAGAAATTCATATTACATGTACTCTCTTACTAGAGAGCGCGCCTCATGCACACTCGACGATGAAGTAAATTATGAACAGTTTTAACTGGGAAAGTTGTCTTGAAGTGCTTGAAACAAAAATGCTTCAATGCTGCTCTAGAAATCAAACTAAATGACCTGTACACTTTATAGCTAGCACAAAACAAGATACTAATAACACCCCCCACCCCCCCGGACAAAACTCAGGCGATGATGGTCTTACCATATACGTGTACATGTATTATAATTGAGTTTAAAATACATCTTTATATACAGTTTTGAAATTGTTAAGTTTTTCTTTTCAACCGATTTCAGGACCTAGGCTTTCTCATAATTATAATAACCTGTTTTTTTATGAAATGAAAACCAGTGCAGATCATGATGTCGTGGAGTGAAGCCCATTCCTCTAAGGGCACTGACCTACAATCTTGTCACTGTATCAAAAGGAAATCCTTGTTCATCACAAAGCATGAAATAATATGCTACTCGCTGACTTTCTAAGCTTTCTTAAAAACCTAACCTTGTAACGTACATTATTAAAAAATGATATACTGAAAAGAAAGGCTAGGTGGAAAACAGACTGAATCAAGAAGGGATGTCCCATTACTAGGTGGAGGGAGTTTGTTTATGATTAGACTAGTCCACTTATAGGATAAATAGTAAGAATAATCAGCAAATCCATTGCTTTAGTGTTGCCTGTCCATATACAATGTGTTCTCTTAAAAAATGAGATAAAATTTACTGTTAATAAAAAATCTGGAGCTTAAGAATCGTGTTAAAAGAATGAACATTTATAATTTACTTATTTCCATAGAAGTTATCACAGCCATTCAATAGAACAACCCAAGAAAAAGGTGCGAAGATAATTTACGTGACTTTTGGCGCGAAATGATTGTGTCACCCCTTTCGTAGAAGGCAAACGGACTGATCCAGTAGTTTAGAAACGCAGAAAAAATGTTATACGGACATGTCCGTACAAAGAAACGCAAAGAATAAACATGTGCATGCAAAAAAACTGAAGGGTTTAAACACATCATTATTTTGCATCAGGTATATGATTCTTTCTCCTGCAAACTGTATTTGTTTAAATGCAGGTAACAAATTCCAATGTAAATCAGCTTGCAAAAAATCTAGTTCATTAAGAATGATCGCTTAGTTTCGGATCCCTGAAATATTAATCCTTATACTGCCTGATGCACGTGACGTCAGGCAATCATGGTGTTATACCTATAATATATGTCTCACAATCGTATTGCATTTTTGAACTTCAGAGGAATTCTTTTTTTTTGTGACCATGGCAACACCATTAACTGAAATAAAAAAGTGAAACAAAGAACTGAGTGTATCTTAGCGTACTCTACTTGTATTCCAAGTTTTATTTAAATCGGGCAAAACTGTAAGAGGAGAAGCAATTTGAAAAAATACAAGTAGATCAGACAGTGGAAAGTCCAGACTTACAAATGACGGACACTACCATTGCATAAGATCTTTCTATCACATAAAATCGAAAAGTAGAGCTTAAAACTAATTAATGCATCCTTTGTTTTGATAGCATCAGTCACTTCTCCTTAAAGGAAGTATTACTTCTCAATTTATTTGTATTTCTGGGAAGTTCTGTTTTCAGTTTTACTGGATTTTAATATTCAGGAAAAAACTGCTCGCCCGGAGACGTAAAACAAAGCATTAATTTACTGTGGCCTTATGAAGTGAGCTTGTTAGTCCAGTAGCGTTGTCCTATATAATTACTATAGATTTTAGCAAGAGTGAGTATCTGAGGGCCCTGAAATACAACATCGTTACTTTGGTGTATTATACTTTCATGTAAATTACTGGAATTTGATTCGTCGAGAAACATTTGTTAAAAAACACCGTTATCCTCTGAATGATGAAACTGCGCATTCCAGATAGAATTTAACAACAATCAACATTGCTTGAGGACGGATGATATCACCCCCCCCCCCACACACACACACACACACACACAATCTATGCGCGAGCGCTTCATCTTTATTTGTATTTGTATAAAACATTCAGAATAATATAATATAGAATGATATAATAA